GTTCTTAGTTGCAAGGTGGAGAGCGGTGTTCCCATCCAGTCAAATGTTTTGAATTTTTTTAAGAGATCTCCCTTAAATATCTCTCTATAAGCTATGTTCCAATCATTGTACTTTGCAGCATATGACAATTCTCTGTGAATTTCCATAATCCAAGGATCACCTGTAAAAGAGAAATAAGAACAAGTTTTATATAAGAAAAAAAAAATAATTCATTCAAATTGATTTTGATGTAAATTGACAGAGTAATTAATATTTGTATTTTTTATAAAAAGAGTAATTAATATCTGCACATTTATTCAGTAAACCCGTTGTAAACATTTGAAATTTTCATTTTAACTTTAGATACTTTTGTTAATACCAAATATAACCTTTTATAGAAAAAGGAGTTGAGAGAAAGTTGAAATAAAACTTATAAAATGATTTTCAATTAGCTTTTATAAAATGAAGAACTCAGCCTCTGCTCTCATACACAGATTCACTAATACTGCTCACTAATTACTATACTAAAATTTTTAATTTAGGCCTTCTTATGCTTGATTAAAAAAATATATATATTCATCAAAATTTTATGTGTAACTTTATAAAATATACTAGCATTTTATTACAAAATATCCTATAAAATTTTGATTAAAAGGATAGGAAAATAAATATATATTAGTTTGTTATATATAAAATATTTTTAGACTTTGATACTAATATGTATATGTATGAAAATTATTAAGTATATACAGACATCCTGAAAGTTTTAACATTTGCTTTAGAGAATGACTATAGTACTTAAAGAATACTATGAAGAAAAATCTAAAAAGAATAAAATGTAATTTTTTTCTTTCTATTACTCTTCATAAAAGAGAATGAAAAGTCACAATTCTACTATAAAAGTTAGTTGCCTAGCCCTTGAGCTGGCACATAAGTTATTAGTACCAGTCATTGTGATCCAAATTAAATTAATAAAACTATCAATTAAATTTAATGCAAACTTTAAACCTTTTAATTTCTAACAAAACTTTTATGATTTAAAATTAAGAATAAGTTAGTTATAAAAGTTTAAATTACATATATTGTAAAATATTTATAGTNAACTAACTAGGGTTAGATACATACTAGAACTTAAAAGAAATTTGATATCCTTTGGCACCTTAGATGAATCAGGATGTTGTTATAAAGCAGAACATGGATGCTTGAACATATATAGAGATAACAACTTGATACTGAAAGGAGAGAAAAGAAATGGCCTTTATATTCTTTGTGGGAATCATTCCCAAAACTGCTTTAATTCTGTGATTACTTCTACTAACTTGTCCAATACAGAAAAGTGGCATCTTAGATTAGGCCACATGAGTCAAAGAGGCATGGACATTCTGAAGAATAAAGGGAAGTTTGGTAAGGACAAGACCACATCACTAGAATTCTGTGAGAATTGTGTTTTAAGGAAACAACATAGAAATAGTTTCACCAAAGGGACACACCTAGTCACTAGACCACTAGAATACATTCACTCTGACCTTTGGGGACTTGGAAAAGTGAAGTCTTATGGAGGGAATAACTACTTTATGTCTCTGGTGGATGACTACAGCCGCAAGGTGTGGGTGTACTTAATGAAATCCAAAGATCAGGCTCTAGCTAGGTTTAAGGACTGGAAAACCTTAGTAGAGAACCAAATGGGAAAAAAAGGTGAAGGTTCTTAGAACAGACAATGAGTTGGAATTCTGTAATCAAGAATTTGATAATTTTGTAGTGACCAAGGGGTTTTAAGACATAGGACAGTAACCTATACCCCACAACAGAATGGAGTGGCAGAACGAATGAATAGAACCCTCCTTGATAAGGTTAGGTGCCTGTTAATAACCTCTAAACTCCCTACCTCCTTTTGGGGAGAAGCTCTTACAACAGCTGTATACTTGGTAAATAGAAGCCCATCTACTGCAATAAACTTAAAGAGCCCTGAGGAAATGTGGACTGGTAGGGTCCCAGCTTTAAGCCACTTGAGAGTTTTTGGGTATGCAGCTTATGCACACACCACAGGAGGAAAATTGGAACCAAGGTCAACCAAGGGCATATTCCTGAGGTATCAAGAAGGGACCAAAGGTTATAGACTCTAGGATAGAGATACTCCAGGGGTTAGAATCATTGTGAGCAGAGATGTGATATTCAATGAGGGAGTATTTCCTTGTAAGGAAACTAGAACCAAAACTGATCCCATGTCAAGTACAGATGATCCCTTCACCCAACCTGAAGTTACACTAATTAAGGTGGAGCTTCCTGTCCAAACTCAAACTAGCCAAGAAACTGAAGCTGTTACTGAACATGGAGGAAAAACTAGACAAACTAATCCAGAACATGAGGATGAGATAGAAACAGCAGATGACACTGAGATTCAACCTGAACACTTGCAAGACTACTAGCTTGCAAGAGACAAAACCAGAAGACAGGTAAGGGCACCCATGAGATATTCCTATGCTGATCTAATTACACTGCCCTCCTTGCAGGTACTGAAGTATAAAGAACGGAACCAGAAACTTATGAGGAAGCCATGTAGACAAAAGAAAGGGACCAATGCAAGGCTGTAATGGAAGCCGAAATGAAATCCTTGGAGGTGAACAGAACTTGGAAGCTTGTACCAAAGCCTAAGGATCAGAAACTTGTACAATGCAAGTGGCTGTTCAAACTAAAGAAAGGTATCACTGATAAGGATCCCCTCAGGTATAAGGCTAGACTTGTAGCCAAGGGTTTTACACAAAGAGAGGGAATAGACTTCAATGAAGTCTTTTCCCCAGTATTTAAGTACAAAACCATAAGGCTTATGCTGTCCATAGTAACTTACCAGGATCTAGAGCTTGAACAATTAGATGTCACAACTGCATTTCTACATGGAGATCTTGAGGAAGAGATCTACATGAGCCAACCCTTAGGTTTCATAGATAAAAGGGCCCCCAACCATGTCTGCCTACTGTTGAAATCCTTATATGGTTTAAAGCAATCCCCTAGGCAATGGTATAAGAGGTTTGACAACTTTATAGTAAGTATAGGATTCACTACGAGTAAGTATGACAGTAGTTTCTACTTTGCTGTTTTAGATGAAATACCTATGTACTTACTACTATATGTAGATGATATGTTACTAATAAGCAAATCAAAGCCTCTGATCTGTGAGTTAAAGAATAAACTGGATGCAGAATTTGAAATGAAAGACCTAGGGGATGCTAGGAAGATTTTAGGCATGCAAATTGATAGAAACAAAAGTAAATGCAAACTAAAAATTCACCAGTGTTCATATATGAATAAGTTAGTAGAAAAATTTGGAATGTCAGGGTCCAAAACTGTCTCAATACCTTTAACAAACCACTTCACATTAAGCAAGGCTCAATGCCTTAATACTGATGCTGAGTTGATTAGAATGGAGACCATACCCTATGCTAATGTGATTAGATCCTTGATGTATGCTTTGATTAGCACTAGGCCTGACTTAGCATTTGTGATATCATTGCTGAGTAGATTCATGTCCAATCCTGGTATGGAACATTGGACAGCCCTGAAGTGGGTACTCCAATATGTTAGTGGATCTTTAAATGTGGGATTGGAATACTGTAAAAGATATGCCTCACTTGAGCTGGATGGTTTTGTAGACTCTGATTTTGCAGGTGACAGGGACACTAGGAAGTCAACCACTGCATATTACTTGACCTTGAGGGCAACTGCATTAGCTGGAAGTCCCAATTACAGCCTATAGTTGCACTGTCAACAACCGAAGCTGAATATGTGGCTGTAGCTGATGTATTTAAAGAGGCAATGTGGCTCAAAGGGATCCTGAGTGAAGCAAACCTGTCTGAACTGAGGCCAACCATTTTTTCAAACAGTCAAAGTGCAATACATCTTAGTAAGAATCCAGTGTACCATGAGCGAACCAAACACATAGATGTTTGCTATCACTTTGTGAGAGATCTGATCATTAGGGAGGAGATAGCACTCAATAAGGTTCCTACTGAGCACAATCCAGTAGACATGGGTATGAAGATTGTTACAATTACTAAGTTCAAGCATTGCTTGAACCTACTGTCCATTCAGTAAGCAACAGTAACAAGAGAACTATGAAAGACTCACTAAAGGCAAGCTGCACTAGCATAGGGGCTGTTTTTCAACCCATCAAGGTGGAGATTGTTGGATGATGGCTTGAAACGCTGTCGTATTTGCACTTAAATGGAATGACGTCGTTTTGATTCAAACTGAAGAAACAATCCTGAGCGTTGATGAAAAGAATATCTAACGGCTGGAATTTAACCCTAATGTCAACCATATAAAAGCAGAGTTATTAGGCAGTTTACGCATTCATCCATTTTTGCAAATCTCTCTCTTCTTAGTTAAACACCATTTGAGTCTTTAGTGTTTTCTATTTGGGTTGAGTGAATCTTGTAACTTGTTGATTGAGTGACTGGGTTAGGTCATTCTGGGTGTATTGTATACGCTGTATATAGGGATTCGAAGGGTGTAATCTCCAGGGTGAGTTACGGGTTGAAGAAGGGGTTTTGAGGGATTTATGTTGCTGTGTGTAATCTGTAATCTTGACAGTGATTTAGTGCAGCGAGCTCATGTGATTCCCGAGTTCAACGTGGACGTAGCTTGCTCAAATATAGAGCAAGTGAACCACGGTAAATCTGGTTGTTCTTGTGTGTGTTTATTGTGATTCTTGTTCTTGATCTGTTGTTATTTGGTTGATTCTTTCTATGAGTGGTTATAACAAGATCATAATTGAGATTAAGAAGGATATCAAAGATATGGCAAATGATACTTTTGAATAAGAATAAGAACTCTTTTGTTGTCAATTGGCACTTGAACAGATGTGATATTTTGTTGTTGCCTTCCTTATCTAGAAATGTAGCTATGAAGATTTACTCATGACGATGTCCAACAGCATAATGAAATATGCTGTAGAAATCATGGTCAAGTTTTAGTGTTAAACCAGGATATTCATTAATAAGTTCTCTTTTTTGCGGCTTCAAATATTAGTAATNTACCATCCGTTTATGGCCCTGCTGCGCTGCTACTAGAACAGGTAACATCTGGTTAGCTCCATGGATATATGGCAACTCATCGTTCTTCTCAAACATTTCCTTAGCTAATCCCACATTGTCGGAAGCAACAACAAGAGAAAAAGCAGTGTTGCCATCACTATTTTTAATAGCTAAATCTTTTCTCTTCATATATTTTATTAGCTCTTCAGCAAATGTAAAGGATTGTTTCGCAATTGCAACAGGAAGAGCAGTCTCCTCTTTCATTGATATCCTAGCAATCAAATATTTCGAATTTTCAATTGGGTCTTCCTTAAAAATATCCCGAAAAGTTGTGTTCCAGTCATTCCTCCGTGTAAGTATGTGCAATTCTTCCAAGTCTTCTTTTATCATTAGATTATCTGTAAAGGTGAAATAAAGACAGGTTTACATATAAGCAACTAATTCATACAAATGCTTTATTGTCAAAATGCATCATACAATTTGAAAAAAAGTATAAGAAAAATAAAATATTATGTTGATAATTAAAATCAAGATAATAAAGTAAATATGCAATTAAAATATCAGTAGAAATAGTGCATGCTTACCAAGCAAAGAAACTCTATTCATTACATTTAGAAATAATCTGTTTTCATCAATTTCTTCAAAGGGTTTTTGGATTCTGTAAAGGAACTCCACCATCTCGTTGTTGCCCCCACCGAACTGCTGCGTGAATTGGTAACAACTCCATATTTCCATTTCCACGTATATTTGCTAACTCTTTATTCTTCTCAAACATTGCATGGCAATTTCCACCCTTCCCTTTGATGCAGCAACATATAAAGCCGTGTTGCCATCACGATTTTTAATAGTTAATTGATTTTTCGTCATATAATTTATTAGCTCCTTGACAAACAAAATTGAGTTTGCCTCAGTTGCTACATGGAGAAGGGTATTCCCGTTTAGTCTTCTTTTCGTAGCACTGAAATAGTTTGAATATTTCAATGGATCTTCCTTAAATACTTCCCTATAAGCTTTGTTCCAATCATTGACCAATGCAGCTCTGAACAATATATTACAGTCTTCATATTTCCTTGAATAATCTTGTCAAGGACAAACAAGAACAAGTTTTACAGCAAGAAAAAAATTTAATGCCTTCAAACTGGTTTCGAGGTAAATTGATAAGAGTAAATAATATTTATACAAAGTCAATAAGTTTCTACTTAATTAAATTGGTATTCTCTATATATGCAGATTATTTCAATAAACCCATTGCTAACATTTGAAATAGGAGTTGAGAGAAACTAGAAATAAAATTTATAAATTAAATTAATTTTAAACCTATCAATTAAATTTAATGCTAACTTTAAACCTTTTAATATTTAACTAGACTTTTTTATTTATGATTCATCCCATCCTTTTTTTTTCATGTAACTCGTTTTCTTGTGCAAGGTAAATCCTCACTTCATTAGTAGACATTTTGTTGTAAACCTTTTCGCAAGTGTACGAAATCGTGCAAGTAATAAAGCTCGAGTGTGCAAGTAATAAAGCTCGAGTAAACGAGTGTCGAATCCCAAAAAAACTACTTACTAAGTACCAAACTAGTATATCTTATTGCTGTTTGATGAAACATAATTTTAAGAAAAGCTTTAATGACAATGTAACAAACTAAAAACTAAATAAATGTAGAATTTGTTAAAGCTTTGATGTAAATGACAACGTAACAAACTAAAAACTAAATAAATGCAGAATTTGTTAAAGCTTTGATGTAAAGATCAATATGACTAAACCTAGAGCATAGATTTTACACCAATTTAATCCTATGCATTGACAATTATTGCTAACCTAATTGAGCACATTCTAAAGGCCAAATATCCTAATATTCCACTAACTCTCTCTCGAGCAATTAGCAAATTAACCTTAAAGCAATAACCCAAGATATCTCTAAATTGGATTTAGGTGCTAAAAGATCGTTAAGTTCTATGGAATCTACCGGAGCCTCACAGATTGCGGTAATCTATCTCTAGCATTCGCTCAATCTATGGTTTTATTACCTAAGACAAATCAAGTTTCATCTCTCGATCTCAACCCAACCCATGATATCATTCAACTCTCGGGCCCTTGAGACTTAAAAGCATTACACACGATAATGTTAGAGTCATGAAAGTGACTCTATTTTGGTGATAAAAATACCCCATTTGTGATTAAATTGAGGTATATTGAGACAATTAAAGAATTTATGAATTTATTCATGAAAATCACTTCCTAATATTTTTCTTATGAATTTAACATGTTTGGAATGATTTTGGAAAGTATATGAGTTGATATTAGGTAAGGTAGTCAATAAATTTCCTGAACTCTTATCTCCATCAAATGACTAATTTGTTGCCAAAGCCTTTGATATTCAAGTGCTTCTGGGAGCAACTTTTCGTGACGGCCATGGTAGACCTTATCGTTATCTGAACCTGCAAGTTTGGTGACCAACATAATTTAATTAGTTTACAAACAAATTGAGGCTTCACTGTAGACATTTCATCGATATCTAAACAGAAATACAAAGATATAATATTCTTAAACTATAACCAGGAATCAAGAAACTCTCCAGCCATGAACCAACTTACGAGCCAGTATTTTAGATCTTCTAAGCCTCATAGCACTCTATTGATGGTGTATTTTTCTGTATATTCGTGTTCTTGAGCTTAGGGACCAAAATAATATATTCTAAACCAAGCTTCCATCAAGCTTTTAATGGCTGCCATAATCCCAACGTTTGAAAACTGAAGCGTTTGAAAACTGAACAAGAACGTGGACCATCAACTTTAAAACTGATGAAAATCACGTTATTTACGTTACTCATGTAACGTAAGTTTTACATTCTCCCACTTGACCACATTTTTAACCATTATTCATTAAGAAACAATACACGAATCATGCGACAAGTCCTCAAAATAAAGAGTATTATCTTCCATGTATTACAATGCATTTGAGTTCTCAAGTTTACTTATATATGACACCTTACTAATGAATAAACCTATGTTTTTCTTGGTCCTACAGATGAATTTTCAATGAAATTAAGGTGCACATGAATAGAAAACATCACAGTAAATAAGAGTTTTATTCAAACATTATATATACAACTACATATTGGAATGAAGTCCATTTCTTCTACATGATCTTTGAATTTCAATGGTGGCACCTTGGTCAAAGGATCAGCGATCATCAATTCAGTACTTATGTGCGAATGACCACTTTCTTTTTTTAATACGTTCTCTTATGGCTAAGTACTTAATGTCAATGTGTTTACTTCGACTTCCACTTTTATTGTTCTTAGCATAAAGACAGCACTGAATTATCGCAGTATATTCTCAATGGTTTAGAATGGAATCCATAATTTTAAGTCAGCTATGAAACTCTTTAACCATACACCATGTGAAGTACCTCAAACAGAACGAACTCAGCTTCCATATGGAAGTAGCAGTCAAGGACTGCTTTACACTTCTCCAAGATACAGTTCCACCTGCCATTATGAAAAAACTCCTATGTTGATTTGCGTGAATCAACACAGCCACAACGGTCTGAATCTGATAACCGATACTTCCAGATTGTACGTCCGTCTATACATAAGCATGTAGTTTTTGGTTCTTGAAGGTACCTCATCACTTCTTTAGCACTCTCCAATGGTCTAAACGTTACTTTGATATCGTCCCAACACTTCCAACATAAATGCAATGTCAGGCCTTGTACTACCTGAGCATACATCAGGCTTCCGACAGCAGAAGCATATGGAATGTTCTTCATTTGTTCCCTTCAAAATCGGTCTTTGGGCATTGGTTCAAATTGAACTTATCGCCCTTCACAATAGGAGCCACACTTGGTGAACAATCTTTCATTTGAAATCTCTCTAAAACCTTATTGATATAGGTTTCTTGAGTACAGACCCAAAATACCTCGAATCTGTCTCTATGGATCTTAATGCCAATGACATAAGATGCATCACCATATCCTTCATATCAAATTCTTAGAGAGGAATTGTTTTACCTCATGCAGCAAACCCTTATCATTGGTTGCAAGCAAAATATCATCTACATATAAATAAGAAAGCATATCTTACTCCCCACTAACTTCTGGTATATACATTGATCCAGGGGTTTTCACAAAACCGATGAAGTATTACCCCATGGAATTTAAAATACATTGGCGGGATCTGTTTTAGACCGTATATAGATTTCTTGAGCTTACAAACCAAGTGCTCACCATCAAAGAGGAAAATCCTTCAGGTTGTTCATATAAACCTTCTCCTCTAGGTCTCCATTGAGAATGCCGTTTTCACATCTATTTGTTGCAACTCTAAGTCAAAATGGGCTACTAATGCCAAATCCACAAAGAATCTTTTTAGATATAGAGAGAAAGTCTCGTGTAATCGATTTCTTCTTTCTGAGTGAATCCCTTAGTAACGAGTCTTGCCTTGTATCCTCAATTTTGCCCAATAAGTCCTCTTTGTCTTAAAGACCATTTACATCCATTGACTTTTACACCATTAGGCACTTAACAAGATCCCAGACTCGTTACTCTTATAGAATTCATCTCTTCCTTCATGGCATTGTACCATAATTCTGATTCTTGCAACATGGCTTGTGAAAAGAACTCGGATCATTTTCGGCTCCAATGTTATAGTCCAGATTCTTGCAGATACATAACATAATCACTAGAATTGCTGATCTCCCTTGGTCTAGTAGATCTTCTTAATGTTGACCATCCATATTCACCGAGAAGTATGTTGATTCAACTTGTTGTTCAAAAGTTCTTGGCAATCTTGAACTATCTGATCTACTGGAATGTTGTCAGCATCTTGTGGAACTTCAATGATTGGTGTTCAACACCAGTTTGTACTTGAGGGGTGCTTAAACAATGACCATTTATCACTTGAGGTGGAAGGTTGAGATTCTGAATGATCATTCTCAAAACTATGTTCCTGTTTGATCGCTCCCACTGATCAAGTCATTTTCAAAAACTTTGCATTCTTGCATTACACAATCCTAGTGCTGTGAGATGGACAATAAAACCGTAACCTTTAACCTTTTAGCATATCCAATGAAATACCCAGTAATGTCCTGGGTCCGCTCTTCTCTTTGGATTATAAATTCAACATCAGACGGGCATCCCAAACGCGCATATATCGCAAACTCGGTTTTCCAACCTTTCCATAATTCAATGGTGTTTTAGGAACAGCCTTGGTTGGAACTCGGTTCAATATTACTGTCATCTTAAGTTGCTTCAGCCCACAAGGATTAGGAAGATTGAGCTGCTAAGCTACTCCGCACCAGGTCCAACAATGTTCGGTTTCTTCTTTCTGCTACACCATCTGGTCTGGTGAACCAGGCATGGTATATGGGCAACAATCCCTGATTCTTGAAGAAACTTTGCAAATGGTCAGGTGCTTGTCCATCCTCTGTGTATCTACCATAAATATTCTCCACCTCCTATCATCTTACGATCTTAATTTGCTTACCACTGGTTTCTCTACTTCAGCCTTAAAGATTTAAGGATCTAATGCTTCGTACTTGTTATGAAGCATGAGAGATAAATATATCGGAGTAATCATCTATAAAGAGAAAGTATTTCTGCACCATGTGGTCCATGTCTGGACTACACATATCAGTATGTATGATCCTAATCTGTCCGAACTTCTATTGGCACCTTCTTTGACGTTGGTCTGCTTCCCTTTATGCAGTCCACAAGTCTTAAATCAGTAAAAATCCAGAGTATTAGTACTCCTTCATTTACTAATCTTTTAATTCTATCTATGGAGATATGTCCTAATCCGGTGCCATAATTTAGAGGAGTCCTCATTAAATAACACATCTTTTAGTGCCAATGTGAACATGCATTGAATCATAAGTGGCATTGTTTTGTAAATTAATGCAGTACAAGACCATCAGACAAGTACCATTCCCAACACAATCAGATTTATAAAATAAGTTGAAAGATGAATCTGAAAATTAAAGGAATATCCAAAGGTACAAGCCTTGAAACTGAAATCAAGTTTCTAGAAAAACTTGGAACATAAAAGGTCTGTTTCTAACAATAAACAAAGCACTACTTAAATTAATAGCAAGTTCCTACAGACTTCCACATGCGCCGAGCCATCTTGTTCCGATAAGGCTTTACTCACTTCCCACTGCGTTCCTAGTTTTGCAAACCCTGCAAGGATTTGAAATGTGGATTGTTGAATCCAGAATCAATCCACCAGTGTTAATATTGACATTTAACTATTAGATTCATAACCCAAACAATGAGTTGGATTACCTTTGTCCGCAAGTCATTTCTGAATTGGCGATGCCTTCTTCATGTGTCCCTTCTTTTACAGAAAAACACGTGGAAATCTTTCTTGATACCACTTTGGGGGGGCATTTTACTTTCCCTTTCTTATTAGGGATATTTTCCCTTTCCATGCGTTGCAAGCATTGCACTTTCTCCATGTTCCATCATCAGTCTCCCTTCCTCTTGAACACATGGTCATAATTTCATTAATTGACCATTATCCTTATGTGTGTGTAGTGAGATTTTGAAGGGTCCATATGATGCGGAAGGGTGGTTCAAGATGTAGTGCACCGAAGGAATCTGACATTTCAACCTCAAGATCTTCAATTGAGCACAATCTCCCTCTTTTGCATGATGTGCTCGCGCACACCTTCACATCGGTGAGCCTTAGGGATGAGAGCTTCATTATCAGGGTGCTTGCTAGTGGCCTTGTCTGAAGTGACAATTGAGCTCAATGCTTTTAGCACAGTCTTTGACCTTTTCATGCTGGAAACAGAACCAGGCATACTAGCAGAGATTCTAGTCTTAATGAACATCACGCTGAGGACGATTAGATCGCTCCCATTGTTCTAAAGCGTGATGTCTGCTGCAGTACTATATCAGTGAGTGTTGGTGGTGTCGTCTTCCTAATAGCATAGTCTATGTCCATCCACCCCAAATTAAGAAGAACTCTCTCCTTCTAGACCTCTATAGTTATCTCCCTTAAGTTAGGGATATCAAATGAATATCAGAGAAATTGCAGGTTGTACGACTGCATAAATATAGAGTACATGCTTATGTTAAACTGAGGCCTAAACAAATATCATACTTTACCAATGTAAATCATACTTAAAAAATTGAATCTAAGACATAAAAATTGCCTGGGCTAAATTCTAATTCCAAGCGATTCATTTATTCCTTATGATTAAACTTATGATAAAAACTATCAAATTATTTACTAAATTCATAATTCCTGTGGGTAATTAGAAGAACTTGATATTTTATCCTAATTAATAATATAAATATAATAAAAATTCATGTGGGAAAAAATTTATATATATAGTATAATTATTCAACTAAATGTCTATATATGTGTATCCTAATTAATCATAATATTAATTTTATTTAATTAAAAGGCTGTGGCTATTCTCTATAATTAAAACTATGATGGATCACTAGACATAAATCTCTAAAGACTAGCTTAATTACGAATTACATAATCAAATACTAATATGTTCTATTATGCACAAAATATTCTCATAAGCATAAAAATATTGCATAATGAAACTATAATAGTTTATGTATACATTAATATTATGCCTTTACCATATATACTCAGTCAAAAACTGCAAGTAGAAAGATATATCAATTCATGAAGATAAATATGAGCATAATTAATTTAGGATTCTGCACAATTTAACTTATCCAAAAAATGCATATAATTAAACCAAAATTAATAAAATAGGCATAATTAAAAAGAGCAGAATTAGAAATAGTATAATTTTATTTTACCAATCAGATGATAAGAACGTTAAGTTTGCCTTGTTAGCTCTGTAGCAAACCTCTTTACACGAGATCCGGTTCAGTCCCAAAACGCCAGATCTTAATTTTTTTTTTTTAATTGAAAGTAAACGACATGTCGTTTTCAAAACTGAAGAAAATTACATGTCATCATAGTCGTTCTTCACTTTGATCGGATTTAAACCATACCCGTACCCGAAAACGACCCAATAGCCAAACCCGGGTGAATCCACTATTAAACTCACAAATAATTGTTTAAAGCCCAGACAGATAGGAAATCCAATTTCCTAAATGATTTATAACATTTATTTTCATTAAAAAACACTAAAAAGACAAACTTGATTTTTATAAAAAAAATTCAAATGGACCATGAACAGAGAGCTTACAAAAAAAAACTTTTGCAAACATCAAGCAGAGGGATTATGTGGCTCTGATACAACTGTAAGACATTTCATCTGTAATCTAAACAGAAATACAAATAATATATATCTTAACTATAAACCAGGAATCAAGAATTACCTCTAGCATTGAACCAAACTTCCGAGCAGTATTTTGGATCTTTTAAGCTCTCAGACATTATTTGAGGTGTATTTTTCGGTGATTCTTCGTGTTCTTGAGCTTGGGACCAAAATAATTATTCATAACCAAGCTTCCATCAAGCTTTTAATAGGCTTAATGGCTGATAAATCCAAAAGTTTAAAAACTGAAGCGTTTTGAAAACTGACAAAGAACGTGGACATCAACTTTAAAATGATGAAAATCACGAGTATTGACATTACTCATGTAAACGTAAGTTTTACATTCAATATCTTTAATGGAGAAAGACATATCTTGCAAAGATTAGAAAGAATGAAAGTGAAAAAAGGGCAAATTATTAAGTGATTCATTATGTATAAAATGATTTTAAAAAAATTAAGAATGTAAAATAAGAAAGTGGCAACAGTTGATGTTGAAGAATCATTTAACTGAATAAAAATAATAATATGTCAAATTGGCATGAAACTATAGAATGTAAAAACCAAGAATTGAGAATATGACTAATCAAGACATGCTTTAAGGTTTAAGAGTAGAGAGACTAACCTTTGTTTCCCGCTGCTTTTGATTGGCAAATTTAGGTGTTCGAGCAAGGTACAAATGCTGTCTCCCCATTGGATTCCTCAGACAGTTGGCTAATTTGTGTTCTGTACAGATAATTCAGCCATAACTGGTTACACAACAATCAAATTGATAACTTAGCAGATATCAACCCTAAAATAAATTCAATTCAAAGAGTCACATAATTAAATCGATACAATATAATTAAATAGATTAAATAATAAAATTAATTAGTCGTTCTTTTTTGTTTATACTGAAATGAAAAAAAATGTAAGGGCTTATGATAGGATTAAAAAAAAAAATTTGAAGGTTTCATAACTCCATCCCTAGTTTATAAACTACGTAGCAAAAGTCAGTTAAAATTAATTTGTCCCAATATAAGGAATGTGCATGCTTACCATAAAACCACTTCTTATTAGATGTTAACCAATTTGATGTGATCCTTGTCATTTAAGTAATGTCCGGTTCCAAAATAAAGGAACTCTACCATCTCTTTATGGCCCACTTGGCTGCTCGGTGAATCCGTAAAACATCCGAATATCATGTATATGACACCATCATTCTTCTCAAACATCCATTGACAATTTCCATCCTTCCGTTTCCAAGCAAGTAAAAAAGCAGTATCCCATCATCATTTCTAATAGTCAAATCTTCTATCAGCATATACTTTATTAGTTCTTTGACAAACTCAATGCAGTGTGTCTTAGTCGCAAGGTGGAGAGCGGTGTTCCCCATCAGCAGTAAATTTTTGAATTTTTTAATGGATCTCCCTTAAATATCTCTCTATAAGCTATGTTCCAATCATTGTACTTTGCAGCATATGCCAATTCTCTGTGAATTTCCATAATCCAAGGATCACCTGTAAAAGAGAATAAGAAAAGGTTTTATATAAAAAAAAAAAAATTCAATTCATTCAAATTGATTTGATGTAAATTACAGAGTAATAATATTTATAAAAAGAGTAATTAATTATGCACTTTATTCAGTAAACCCGTTGTAAACATTTGAAATTTTCATTTTAACTTTAGATAATTTTGTTAATACCAAATATAACCTTTTATAGAAAAAGGAGTTGAGAGAAGTAGAAATAAAATTATAAAAATGATTTTCAATTAGCTTTTTTAAAATGAAGAACTCAGCCTCTGCCTCTCTACTATTACATATATATATTTTAATTTGGCCTTCTTATGCTTGATTTATATAATATAAATTCATCAAAATTTTATGTGTAACTTTATAAAATATTAGTATTTTATTAAAAATATCCTATAAAATTTTGATTTAACAGGTAGAAAAAAATTAATTAGTTTTTATATATAAAAATATTTTTAGACTTTGATACTAATAATATGTATGTATGAACATCCTGAAATTTTAACATTTGCGTTAGAGAATGACTATAGTGCTGAAAGATAATATGAAGAACAATCTAAAAAGAATAAAAGTAATTTTTTTTTTCATTACTCTTCATAAAAGAGAATGAGAAGTCACAATTCTCTATAAACAAATTAGTTGCCTAGCCCTTGAGCTGGCACATAAGTTATTAGTACCAGTCATTGTGATCAAATTAAATTAATAAAACTATCAATTAAATTTAATGCAACTTTAAACTTTAATTTCTACACAAACTTATTATATTAAATTAAGAATAAGTTAGTTTAAAAGTTTAATTACATATATTGTAAATATTATTGTTTCACATTGTCAACTATGATCTCCTATTTTAATGCCCAGTAATAAAAGGAGATGATACTTATACTCAAAAGAATCATCTTTAAAAAATATAAATAAAAAAAAAAAATCCAAGAGAACATAGCTCTTTTGTAAAGGTGAAATGCCACATTCTCAACTATTTCTTCAGATGACCCATTTTTTGATGCAATTGCTGTATCCTTTATTTCATTAGTCAAACTTTTTTGTAATGAATTATTGATATATATATATGATTATATCTTTTAAATTTTAGAACATGATTATTTAAGATACAAAATTAATATAAAGTAAAAGTTTGAATTAAAAAGTGTGAAAAATATTTTTACATGCATGTAATATTTAATTTAAAAAAAACTTATGTATGAAACATATTTGTTAAATTAATTATCTAAATAGTAAAGAACATTAATTTCCAAATGAGAATAGTTAAATGAAAAATAAAATAATTATCATGTAATATTATCTACAATTCTCTCTTTTCAAAAAGAATATTATTTACTATATTAAATAAACATATTTTGTTTATTTATAATGTTTTGTTTATAGAAGATCAAATTGATCATTTTTTTTTTTTTAATGTATGCTAAAAAAAAAATTAGCCCTCCCAAATCGAGTTTCTGGTTTCGTTATCATATATTATATTATTGAGTAAAAAGTATATATATTTGGTTGATAATTAACATCAAGATTAAGATGATCAAGAATAGATCTTACTACACAGATGATTGTTGCAATCCATTTCTTGGCGGATCCCCTGAATTAATACCACAGACAAACTTTAGGAACTCTACCATACGGAGAGGAACATTAACATTAACATTGTAGTGACAGAGCATAATAGTGCCAATGCATCTGATATGGCAAAACCAAAAAATAATCCGTGACGTACGAAAATAGGTCTGCCAGTACTATTGTTATCAACATCAAAACATATAGCTATGCTTGTATCATCCTCCCCAAAAGATTGGCAGAATTTACAACATATTTGATCCCCAGAAAACATGTTTGAATAGAAAGGCCCTTTCCGGATCTTGATGAAGTAAGTAGATCGATTGTTCAACATCACCCCTTTCAATTGGTAGAAACAGAGAAAAAGCTGATGTAATTCCGTAACATCTTTTGTGTTTTATTTTTTAATATAAAATGCATTTGCTAGAACTTTGATTAAAAAATGGGATAGATGACATTACGATGCATCAAGACATTGTAGCAATTGAGATAGCTAAACAACAGCCCAAAAAAGAAACCAAAAGAGATGATGGATTCTGCAATTGAATGTTTCAGACTTCAGAGTATATTAATTACCTTTAGTTGTTATTCTCAGCTCAGAAGGATAGCCTGAAATCTGAATACAAATAAACTAAACCAATAAAAATTAATAAGCATGCAAACTATTCTCTGCTGATCTTCAGAGTGAAGTAAATAAGCATGGATGTTGTTGAGACTTCAGAATATAGACAGTCAGTGCTCAAGCAGACCCAAAACTAAAAGATGAGCAAGAGATATATATTACAGTAACTTACCACGCAGGCACTCAAAAGTCAAGACTTAAACGCCTTACAGATCTTTTTCAGAATCGACAAATCTATATATATATATATGACCGTCTTACCCATTAAAAAAAGCATAAATTGATAGATATAAACTATTTCTATAACAGCGTTCTCTACAAAATTTAAATGGAAAGTACAAGCAATAATAAAGGAATCTATACTAGCATTCTCAACAATATAGAGGGTACCGCCAGCATTCTCTTCAATAATTACAGAATATATAATATAGAGAGCACCAGCATTCTCTATAATAATAAAAGAACCTATAATACAGAAAGTACTAGCATTCCTCAAGAAAGTTCCAGCATGCTGAGTACTTCCAATTTTTAAGGTTCCATGATTTCTCTTCATCAGAAAGTGAAGAGTTCACTTGTCTTGGAAAGAAAACCTATTTTAAAGGTGGAACGCACTACATCATAAAGGAGTCGCCACTTTTGGTTGGTGAACAAAATGACAGGCAAGGAAGCAATCATGCTAACATGAATAGGAATCCAAATCCCTCCATCTTCNTATACTAGCATTCTCAACAATATAGAGGGTACCGCCAGCATTCTCTTCAATAATTACAGAATATATAATATAGAGAGCACCAGCATTCTCTATAATAATAAAAGAACCTATAATACAGAAAGTACTAGCATTCCTCAAGAAAGTTCCAGCATGCTGAGTACTTTCAATTTTTAAGGTCCCATGATTTCTCTTCATCAGAAAGTGAAGAGTTCACTTGTCTTGGAAAGAAAACCTATTTTAAAGGTGGAACGCACTACATCATAAAGGAGTCGCCACTTTTGGTTGGTGAACAAAATGACAGGCAAGGAAGCAATCATGCTAACAAGAATAGGAATCCAAATCCCTCCATCTTCAAAGACAATGAAAATAGATGAAAAAAATACCACCATCATTGCTGCTATTGACAAGAAAAGTGTTGAGAGTCCAACAACCAACTTTCTGGGCAACACATAAAGGAGATCTTCAACTGCATATCGTGCAGCGAGAATGGATAAGAACGTTAGCATAGAGCAAAATGCTGATACTAGCGATATTGCATCAGATATGACAAAAATTCTAAAGGAAAGTTTCTGAATGAAGTTAGGAATCCCCGTCTCATCTTTGATAACGCCTGGCACTGTAAAAGGTGCAGACAAACCCACGGTCGTAATAAATGTTGCTACAATCATGCATGGATTCGCAGTGTCCTTTATCCACATTTCCCCTTCATCCTTTAAAGCCGTGATCTTCTCATAAAATATATCTCTAGGAGTTTTCCCATTTATATTTTTAGCTTTTGCATGATTTGGATCCACAATCTGACTCACTTCCTACATTTATTGTTATAAAAATCTTATTCAGGAAACAAATTTGTTTTCTATATACCAAAAAAAAAAACAAAAAAAACAAAAAACTCTGCAAATATTTACCTTAAACCAAAACAAGGCTTGCTGCAACGGGAGAGCTACTCCTGATACATTAGTGACCTGTTCTAGTGGTGACATCATTCCAGCCAAATGCAAGATATTGTTTTCTTCAACATCTTTGATCTCAAGTATTAATTTCTTAACCATTGGATCGACATGGTCAATGAGTTTGAAGATTTCCTTTTGTCGATTCAAAACAGCAATGTGAAATATGCTATAATTGTTTTGGTCAACTTTCAATATCAAATTAGGATATTTACAAACAAAAATGGTTAGAAAATCAATGTTTCCTTCTTCGACAGCAGTAAATATTACTGGCCAAGGGTAGTCAATAATTCCAGAAATCTTATCTTCATCCAAATGACTAATTTGTTGCCAAAGCCATTTGACTAATTCAAGTGCTTCTGGGAGCAACTTTTCGTGACGGCCATGGTAGACCTTATCGTTATCTGAACCTGCAAGTTTGGTGAGCCAACATAATTTAATTAGTTTACAGACAAATTGAGGCTTCACATATCTTTTAATTTGAAGAAAGACATATCTTGCAAAGATTAGAAAGAATGAAAGTGAAAAAAGGGCAAATTATTAAGTGATTCATTATGTATAAAATGATTTTAAAAAAATTAAGAATGTAAAATAAGAAAGTGCAACAGTTGATGTTGAAGAATCATTTAACTGAATAAAATAATAATCATATTGTCAAATTGGCATGAAACTATAGAATGTAAAACCCAAGACATTGAGTAATATGACTAATCAAGACATGCTTTAAGGTTTAAAGAGTAGAGAGACTAACCTTTGTTTCCCTGCTGCTTTTGATTGGCAAATTTAGGTGTTCGAGCCAAGGTACACAATGCTGTCTCCCCATTGGATTCCTCACGACAGTTGGCTAATTCTGGATTTCTGTACAGATAATTCAGCGCTAAACCTGGTTACACAACAATCAAATTGATAACTTAGCAGATTCAACCCTAAAATAAATTCAATTCAAAGAGTCACATAATTAAATCGATACAATAATAATTAAATAGATTAAATATATACAATTAGTCCGTTCTTTTTTGTTTTATACTGAAATGAAAAATAATTGTAAGGGCTTATGATAGGATTAAAAAAAAAACATTTGAAGGTTTTCATAACTCCATCCCTAGTTTATAACCTACGTAGCAAAAGTCAGTTAAAATTAATTTGTCCAAATATAAGGAATTGTGCATGCTTACCATATAAACCACTTCTTATTAGATTGTTAACCAATTTGATGTGATCCTTGTCATTTAAGTAATGTCCGGTTCCAAAATAAAGGAACTCTACCATCTCTTTATGGCCCAACTTGGCTGCTCGGTGAATCGGTAAATCATCCGAATATCCATGTATACTTGACAACCATCTATTCTTCTCAAACATCATGTTGACAATTTCCATCCTTCCGTTTCCAGCAGCAAGTAAAAAAGCAGTATCCCCATCATCATTTCTAATAGTCAAATCTTCTATCAGCATATACTTTATTAGTTCTTTGACAAACTCAATGCAGTTGTTCTTAGTCGCAAGGTGGAGAGCGGTGTTCCCATCCTCTGATATCTTAGCAGTTAAATATTTTGAATTTTTTAATGGATCTCCCTTAAATATCTCTCTATAAGCTATGTTCCAATCATTGTACTTTGCAGCATATGCCAATTCTCTGTGAATTTCCATAATCCAAGGATCACCTGTAAAAGAGAATAAGAAAAGGTTTTATATAAAAAAAAAAAAAAAATTCATTCAAATTGATTTTGATGTAAATTGACAGAGTAATTAATATTTGTATTTTTTATAAAAAGAGTAATTAATATATGCACATTTATTCAGTAAACCCGTTGTAAACATTTGAAATTTTCATTTTAACTTTAGATACTTTTGTTAATACCAAATATAACCTTTTATAGAAAAAGGAGTTGAGAGGAAGTAGAAATAAAATTTATAAAAATGATTTTCAATTAGCTTTTATAAAATGAAGAACTCAGCCTCTGCTCTCATACTACTATACTAAATTTTTTAATTTAGGCCTTCTTATGCTTGATTTTATATATATATAAATTCATCAAAATTTTATGTGTAACTTTATAAAATATAATAGTATTTTATTATAAAATATCCTATAAAATTTTGATTAAAACGGTAGCAAAATAAATATAAATTAGTTTATTATATATAAAATATTTTTAGACTTTGATACTAATATGTATATGTATGAACATCCTGAAATTTTTAACATTTGCGTTAGAGAATGACTATAGTGCTGAAAGAATACTATGAAGAACAATCTAAAAAGAATAAAAAGTAATTTTTTTCTTTCCATTACTCTTCATAAAAGAGAATGAGAAGTCACAATTCTACTATAAAACTTAGTTGCCTAGCCCTTGAGCTGGCACATAAGTTATTAGTACCAGTCATTGTGATCCAAATTAAATTAATAAAACTATCAATTAAATTTAATGCAAACTTTAAACCTTTTAATTTCTAACAAAACTTTTATGATTTAAAATTAAGAATAAGTTAGTTATAAAAGTTTAAATTACATATATTGTAAAATATTTATTGTTTCACATTGTCAACTATGATCTCCTATTTTAATGCCCAGTAATAAAAGGAGATGATACTTATACTCAAAAGAATACATCTTTAAAAAATATAAATAAAAAAAAAAAAGAAATCCAAGAGAACATACCTGCTCGGTTTGTAAGAGGGTGAAATGCCACATTCTCAACTATTTCTTCAGATGACCCATTTTTTGATGCAATTGCTGTATCCACTTTATTTCATTAGTCAAACTTTTGTAATGAATCTTATTCGATATATATATATGGTATCTTTTAAATTTTAGAAACACTTGATTATTTAAGATTCAAAATTACTATAAAGTAAAAGTTTGAATTAAAAAAGTTGAAAAATATTTTATACATGCATGTAATATTTTAATTTAAAAATTAACTTATATATTGAAACATATTTGTTAAAATTAATTTATCTAAATAGTGTAAAGAACATTAATTTCCAAATGAGAATAGTTAAATGAATAAATAATTATAATTATCATGTAATACCTTATCTACAATTCTTCTCTTTTTCAAAAAGAAATATTATTTACTATATTAAATAAACAATTATTTTGTTTATTTAATAATGTAATTTTGTTTTATAGAAGATCAAGATTGATCATTTTTTTTTTTTTTATGTATGCTAAAAAAAAAAATTAGCCCTCCCAAAATCGAGTTTCTGGTTTCGTTATCATATATTATATTAATTGAGTAAAAAGTATAAAAAAAGTAAAATATTTTGTTGATAATTAACATCAAGATTAAGATGATCAAGAATAGATCTTACTTACCAGATGATTTGTTGCAATCCATTTCTTGGACGGATCCATGAATTAATACCACAAGACTAAACTTTAGGAACTCTACCATCCGTTTATGGCCCTGCTGCGCTGCTACTAGAACAGGTAACATCTGGTTAGCTCCATGGATATATGGCAACTCATCGTTCTTCTCAAACATTTGCTTAGCTAATCCCACATTGTCGGAAGCAACAACAAGAGAAAAAGCAGTGTTGCCATCACTATTTTTAATAGCTAAATCTTTTCTCTTCATATATTTTATTAGCTCTTCAGCAAATGTAAAGGATTGTTTCGCAATTGCAACATGAAGAGCAGTTTCCTCTTTCACTGATATCCTAGCAGTCAAATATTTCGAATTTTCAATTGGATTTTCCTTAAAAATATCCCGAAAAGCTGTGTTCCAGTCATTCCTCCGTGTAAGTATGTGCAATTCTTCCAAGTCTTCTTTTATCATTAGATTATCTGTAAAGGTGAAAAAATGACAGGTTTACATATAAGCAACTAATTCATACAAATGTTTTAATGTCAGAGTGCATCATACAATTTAAAAACAAGTATAAGAAAAATAAAATATTATGTTGATAATTAAAATCAAGATAATAAAGTAAATATGCAATTAAATTATCAGCAAAAATAGTGCATGCTTACCAAGCAAAGAAACTCTATTCATCACATTTAGAAATAATCTGTTTTCATCAATTTCTTCCAATGGTTTTTGGATTCTGTAAAGGAACTCGACCATCTCGTTATTGCCCCACCGAGCCGCTGCGTGAATTGGTAGCATCTCCATATTTCCATTTCCACGTATATTTGCTAACTCTTTATTCTTCTCAAACATCGCCATGGCAATTTCCACCCTTCCCTTTGATGCAGCAACGAAAAAAGCCGTGTTGCCATCACGATTTTTAATAGTTAATTGATTTTTCGTCATATAATTTACTAGCTCCTTGACAAATAAAATTGAGTTTGCCTCAGTTGCTACATGGAGAAGGGTGTTCCCGTTTGGTCTTCTTTTCGTAGCACTGAAATAGTTTGAATATTTCAATGGATCCTCCTTATAAACATCCCTATAAGCTGTGTTCCAATCATTGACCAACGCAGCTCTGAACAATGTATTACAGGCTTCATATTTCCTTGAATAATCTTGTAAAGCACAAACAAGAACAAGTTTTACAGCAAGAAAAAAATTTAATGCCTTCAAACTGGTTTCGTGGTAAATTGATAGAGTAAATAATATTTATACAAAGTCAATAAGTTTCTACTTAATTAAATTGATATCTCTATATATGCAGATTATTTCAATAAACCCATTGCTAACATTTGAAATAGGAGTTGAGAGAAGCTAGAAATAAAATTTATAAATTAAATTAATTTTAAACCTATCAATTAAATTTAATGCTAACTTTAAACCTTTTAATACTTAACTAGACCTTTTTTATTTATGATTCATCCCATCCTTTTTTTTCATGTAACTCGTTTCCTTGTGCATTGTAAATCCTCACTTCATTAGTAGACATTTTGTTGTAAACCATGTAAGCAACTTTATGTATTTACATAATTAGACGTAAGCTGAACTTAATTTATAAGACTACATATTTTTGACAAATAGATATTATAATGTTTTAGTTTTAAATATTTTTAATATTAACAAATTAAATACTTATTAAAAATATAAGTGAATATACGATATGTATGTATAAAATGTTAAACTATTGATTACAATGCAATTTAGGAAAGTAAAAAGATATAATTAAATAACATGACAGCAACTCAAGCAGCACAAAGATGAAGAAGATAATAATTTAATTTATTAGAAAACCATATTTCGCACTATTACTTCTTAAGAATAAACGGCATATATATATATATATATATATAGTGAGGGCGTTGATTGTTAAGGCGGGGCTATCAAGGGATAAGAGGGGCGATTGACCCCACTTTGATTTTCAAAATGTTTTTATATTGTGCCAAAATTTTATTCTCCTTTTGTGTTTACAATTTTTATACTCAAAATACAAATTGTTAAAACTTCTTTTTCATTTTTTTCTTTAGCAAAACATATTTCCAAATTCTTATTAAATATAATATTTCTCAAGTTGTTGCTATCATAAACAATTATTGAAACCCTTTTTCTACTTCTATTTATTTTTTCAGTTTTTTTTTCTTAATTTTATTAGATTTTAAATTTTTTTTTTAAATTATATAATTCAAACCCTTTTTGTTTTAAATTATATAATTTGATTTCCAACATGCAATCTAACGAATTTGAGGAAAAAAGTTAAAAGATATTATTTTTAATGTTACATGATTATGAAGAACTTTTAAAAATTTTAAAATAAAAGGACATTAAAAAAAAAAACGCATCTTTAAAAGTATAGAATAAAATTATAAGCAATCTATAACATAATATCAGAACGTACAAACTTCATCTTGAGGAGATGCCCTGCTCTCAGCTATTTCTTCATGAGATGACTGATTTTGTGATGCAGTCCATGTATCCATCACTATTTGATTCCACAACATTTTGTTATACTTATTATGTGATTATATGTATAATGTAAAAGTACAGTTTATAAGATGATATTTCAAATCATAACATTATGTTATTGAAGAGATGTCACAAGCTCATTCTCAATTTCATATAAGTCATCCATCTGTGGTGGAATGTCAACCGTCACTTGATCATTAGTATCCATTTTTGTGATAAATACAGCAAGGTAATTTATATCATGTAAAGTAAATTTAATTTATTATAAACCTACATATTTTCAGATGAAACTACCTAGATTTAAAATTGAAGAAGTGGGTTAAAAAACTTACCTCTTTTTGGAGTGTGGCCTGCTATCTTCAGCTTTGTAAACAATATTTAGAAAGAAAGGCCTCAATAGCTCAACGAAAGACAACAATAATCGGGGCTCAAGGCCATGAATGAACTAACTTATATACACTTCCAAAGACAAGTGGATGATATTTTACAACTAAATTATAATATATTACTTAATTGAAAAAATATGTACCCTGACAATCCTGGCTATACAACTCGTTTCCCCATACAATACATTAAAATATTATGAGATGTCGTTGTGAATAATAGTTCTGTTCACATAGAACTTTCATTGGAGTTTAGTTAAGGCTATGTTGAAATACGAGTTTATTAAGCAGATCTCACAAATTTTGATATTCATCAAAAATCTTAAGTAATTATATTAATTCCAAGAATTTTTTGTGCATCATGTATACTTCCGAATCTTATATATGTTGGATGAAAACAAGAAAGATCTAAACTAGTATTCAACAAATCAACATACTGATAGTATAGAAACGGATTGAAAGATAGAGTTATCTCTTTTAGTACCTTGCTAGGACGCAATCTGAAACTGCAAATTAATGGAGCTCCCAAGTTCTCAAGTGGAGTGTGGAGAGGATGAGAACAATACTACTCTTCTAGAAAGACCTAAAAAGTAGATAGATGGAGATGTTAGAAGTTGACAGGCCAGAAATTGAAAAATGAAACAAGAACTTGAATAATTTACTTGTATTAAGAATTCCAGAAATTAGAATCTGTCCAAGTACAAAGCAATCAAAACCCTAAAAAATAGAAAGAAAAAGGGAGAGAAAGAAAAGAAGCTTGCCTGAAGAGAGATAAATCTGAAAAGTGAAAAGTTTGGTTGACTTCGTTAATGTTGAGAAGAAAAGAGAAGAGTAAGGGAGCTGGAGAAGGCAGAAAGGAAAAGTGAGTCTTGGGCGGCGGAGAAGGGGATTAGGGTTTTGACTTTAGTGTGTAGGACCAAAGCTCTAAATCACTAATGCTATTTTGTGCAAACTCCCCTTACAATGAGAATTTATACAGACTAATGAGTCATGTTATGTGTGACACGTCACGTCAGTGACACGCGGCGAGTGGACCCTAACTTTTAATGCTCTTAAGCTAAAAGACAATAAAAACAATTTTTTCCAAACTAACTTTTTCCAATTTGCCGATATACAATAAATCAAATCCCTCGCAAAATTATTCAATCCCAAATCATATCCTCTCCCAAATTTTGCAAACCCTAACTATCAAAATTTCTCCTAATGAAATCTCTCTCCGTCAAAACATATGCAACCCTAACCACCACACCAGCCACGCCTTCCAACGAGCCACCACCACCAACTAGCCACGCATTCCAACGGACGACCACCACCAGCCAGCCGTGCATTCCAACGGGCGACCACCAGCTAGCCGTGTCTTAAAAACGAAGACCACCCCTACTGCGCCTTCCAAAAGGGGTTTTTTGTTTTTTGTTTTTTGTTATGTTGATTTCTTAATATCAAAAGTTGTTTACTTTTTGTTCTGCAGATCTATTGGGTGATGGGATCTTCGCTGTGGATGGAGAAAAGTGGCGATATCTGAGGAAAATAGCAAGTTATGAATTCTCCACCAAGATACTGAGGGATTTCAGCAGTGGAGTCTTTAAAGCCACTGATGTAAAGCTTGCTGGCAATAATGGCAATCACAAGGGCTTCATTATAATCTTCTTTTAAAGTGTACCTGACATTCTTATTCTAATTTTTCTTCTGAAGCTATTTTTCTTAATGACTGTTTTTGGCGTCCTGTACTCATTGCTGCTCTTTTAGGGCGTAATGAAGGTTGTATTAATTCCATGATTACCAGGTTTTTATTTTGTTAAATAATGGATTTCGTTTGTTTTTTATGCAGAGTGTTAAAGATCAGATTGATGCAAGGGATATGTCAGATGCAGTCATTTTCAATTCCAGCAGTTTAAAATTTGTTGTGTGGAATGACTTTGATCGGGTGAAAAAGGGGGACACCTGATGGGTGGGCTACTACAGCTGATTCTGAGTATTTGTGTTTGACAACACACTTTATTGATAAAGATTGGCAATCGAAAAATTTTGAATTTCATTATGACTGATTCTTCTCACATAGAAGATGTGAGTGCAGAGGTTATAATGACATGTCAAATGGATTGTGATATAAGATCGTAAGTTATTTGCAGTGACATTTGATAGTGGGGCTAGCAGTGACAACATGGTCTATAGAAAGAAGATATTGTGTCAAGGTTTGTGGAATTGAAAGAGACGGATCCAAAATACAGGAATTTCCTGGTTTTTGTACATGATCTGCAAGCACCCTCATACACAGTAATTTCTTCCTTGATTAGAGAGTGAAGTTCCTGTCTGAATTCTTTGTCAATGGTTATCCAACTCATATCACTGCCTCTGATTTGATGACCAGCAATTTTATTGGATGTTGAATTTAAGGACAAGTGCTTAAATATTATCTTCTTTTAAAGCTTTTTTCGGTTTTTCATTTTTATTGCATTTGTGTGTGGGATGAAATCAGAAAATGTGAGGGGTATTTGTATGTTTAGATGGTCAGATATCAGTTTCATTTATCAATGGCATCACTCGTTATTGTTTATTGCTTCTTAAAAAGTCCGTGGTCAAAATGGAAAAAAGTGACCAGTAGCAGCCATTTTTACTATTGGCAAAGCATATTCAGATTCCTCCAGATGTTAAACAAAATTTGCAGTCATATAGACATTAACGACACACTACAACAATATAAGCATATTCAAATAATGACTAAAATACATGAAAGTGGATTTATTACATAAAGTTGTCCACAGACTATATGTAATATTCTATACTAAAAAATTAAAAATTTCATCCTAATACTCTCTGGTATTTTTAATTTTCAAAAAGACTAATAAAGGGAAAATATAGTAGCATTCATTATAAGAACAATCACTCTTATTTGTAAGAGAGTTATGGTTCCATCCATAGCCTTAGACGTTAAATCTCTTCGATTTGTCTTATTATAAGGTACAGACAACTCATAAATGATATTTTCTTTCCTTTTTTTTTTTTTCTGTTGTGACAAAGCTGGGCAATGATAAGATTCGTGTTTGTTTCGTGTGAAAAAGGCAAGAAAAACAGGAGAGAAACAGAGGAAAGGCAGAGAGAAATTTCTTGACTTTGAAATTTAGGTGGTTTCTTGTGGCCATTTTCTTGTTCTCAGCCACCGAGCCATGACTTCCTCTAGCTTTAACTTCAGCGGGTTCTTTTGTACCCAGTGATTTTTTTTTTTTTTTTTAATCTCTGTCACGATCATGGTTGTTAGTATCCTACAATACCCGATACATATCATACGATACAATTCGATACAGGTCGCCAACGATACGTATCAGAGAGTGTATCCTAAACCTTTCGATACGTTGATATGTATCCTACGATCCGATATGTATCCGTTCGTATCCTTAAAAATATCGATATAGATCGATACGACTTTATTAAATTGGGCTAAAGGCCCAAAAAAAATTCGGGTCGAAACCGGGTCACCCAACCCGATTCATTAAACCTGTCTAAATTTACCCATTTTGCATAGAGAAAGTGAAGAGGAATACGTGTTACCCATTTTACATGATAATAATAATATAAGTGGAGATATCATTAATCTTGGAAATGATATGAATGGTTGAGAGAAAATAATATAAATTCTTAATTTTGTGATTAATTTTCATAATGTAATGAAAATGGTGTAAATATAGCATTACTCTAATTTAAAACCAATAATACCACAAAATTCTTTAATTAATCTTGGGAATGATATTAATTTTTTTAAAATTTTGATTATTTTATTAATTTTTTTTTTAAAATGCGTATCCTACAATACGATACGTGATACACGATTAAAAAAATTAAATTTTCGATACACAATACGATACTCGATTTGACAACCATGGTCACGATTCCCTGTAGGTTGAACTTTAGGTGGCTTTTTCGTGGGCTGATTTTTCTTCAGGTTTTACATGATGACCAAAACTTGTAACTATTATTTGAGATTTTGAATTAATTAACAAAAGGAATTTTTGTAAGACAAACAATTTTTGTCTTCAATTGTCAAATCCATCACTGTGGACTTAGTAGTTGCCCCATCTTTTTAGTCTCCTCAATCCTAGTTTCTCTGCCTTGAGTATCGCTTTCAGAATTTGCATAAAAAGAACTAAATTTCTTCAAACATTTAACAGCTTCCCTTAAATCCTTGATGAAATTTGTTCATAAATTTCTGCACATACACAAAGGCGTTGTTCCCTCGGTTGGTGCCTCTAATTAACTCTTAAGAATGCAAAATCACAAATATCTGCAAGACGACAAGGAGAAATAAGCAGTAAAGCAATTCCTTTTAACCTCCCCTGTCAAGGATTTTAACTGACACTTAGAAAGAAAAATAAAAATAAAATTTACAAAGAACAATAATTTAGCTCAAGCAGTGGTAGACGGATGCCAGATAATTTTAACATTCTTGATCAAATTGACAAATAGAACAAATTCTAAAGAAAGACTTCAAGTCAATTAGCTGTTCCAAAGAGAACTCGATGATAATAGATATGTGCTATCTAAACAATTTAAAGTGTTGAGGTTTAATTTGCTTCTTATCCTTTACACACAAAAGAGACTTCAAGTCTATAGAATGTTGCTTTGTTCTCATTTTCAGAGTTCTCCATGATTCATACCATGAATCACCATTTCAAGAGTAAAATTTTACGTCCAATTAAACCAAACCGAATCCCCACTTCCTATAATTGGAAAAAAATAAAAAATAAAAAAAGCCTTCTCTGTTACAATAATCAGATCACAGTGCTATAAGATTTCTACTGACTGGGTACTATAAGGCAAAACAAAGCCCCAATTTTAGACCACATGTACGTAAGAATAACCCTGCAAACGACTTGATTGGTCTAATTTATACAGAAGGACCCAAAGAAGATTACCATTTCTACTTTCAAGTAATTAACCACCTACAAACTAGATATATCATTCAATACATCCACATTTCTGTAAAATGCAGAAAGCAAACTACTTGGCTGATAGAACAAATAAATAAGCTACTACAGGTTTCAATTCTTACCAGTGTTAAAATCATGGTTGTTAGTATCCTACGATACCCGATACGTATCATACGATACGATTCGATATAGGTCGCCAACGATACGTATCAGAGAGTGTATCTTAAACCTTTCGATACGTTGATATGTATCATACGATCCGATACGTATCCGTTCGTATCCTTAAAAATATCGATATAAATCGATACGACTTTATTAAATTAGGCCAAAGGCCCAAAAAAAATTCGGGTCGAAACCAGGTCACCCAACCCGATTCACTAAAACCTGTCTAAATTTACACATTTTGCATAGAGAAAGTGAAGAGTAATACGTGTTACCCATTTTACATGATAATAATAATAATATAAGTTGAGATATCATTGATCTTGGAAATGATATGAATGGTTGAAAGAAAATAATATAAATTCTTAATTTTGTGATTAATTTTCATGATGTAATGAAAATGGTGTAAAAGAATGGTGTAAATGTAACATTACTCTAATTTAAAACCAATAATACCACAAAATTCTTTAATTAATCTTGGGAATGATATTAATTTTTTTAAAATTTTGATTATTTTATTTTTTTTTTTTTAAAAAGACGTATCCTATGATACGATACGCGATACACGATTAAAAAAATTAGACGCGATACACGATTCAAAAAATTAGGTTTTCGATACACGATACGATACTCGATTTGACAACCATGGTTAAAATGCTTAGTTTGCACTTCAAATTCATTTTGAAACACAACATATAGATGAAAAGAAATCATGGTAGTACTTATACTTATGGTTAGCCCAACTAAATAATTTTGAAATAACATCCATTCTGGAGAACCTGGAGACATATTTGGAACTGCAGGCAGATAGGTCACCACTAACGACCTGTTCATATCAAATTAGCTTTTGAAGCATTAATTTCATTGATGCAGGAGACAAAATATGAAGATATATTGTCCTATGCAAGGTTGTCAGAATCAAAGTTAAAAGATGGTATACAAACCATATTATATACTCCGTTAGAATTTCTTCTTTCAAGAAAGTACTGTTATAGGCAGAACTAGTTACAATATGGAATCCACTTTCCTATTAACTTCACTGGAGATTATCTGGATTGAGCTCGTAAAAGAAATGATGGCTAGGACAAGAGAAAATACTAGACTTTGTCTAAATGACTAATCATATCAGAGAAAAAGAGGGAATTAGAGCAGGGCAAACAAGGTGAGAGGAACACAAGCTACTGAAGCAATTGGAATCGCACTAAAATGAGTAAACGCACCTCTGCCAAATCCCAAGCTGACTCTCACTTACAAATGCCAGAGGCTTCCTTGCCAATATATGAAGAGCCGTCTCTCCATTTCCATCCCAAGCTATAACATGACTGAGTTTAGATTTCGTAATTGAATGGTTCTGGGTATGTTAATTACCTTCAGTTGTCATTTCTCAGCTCAGAAGCAAACCTGAAATGCCAACTATGAATATAACTCAACCAACAAAGTTTAATGTTAAGACTGACAGCTGGAAATGAATTCTGTACAAACACACAAAAATATATTAATAATCAGCAATAATAATGTAAAAAAATTCATAGTAGCATAAAGTATGTTAAATGATGCTGAAATATTGTATCACTAAGCTAAGGGTAAATGGAGCAAGAAAAGAAAAAGAATTACCTTGGAGAGAGCAGTAGATGAGGAAATATTTGAAGTCAATTCTCTGCTCATCTTCTGAGTAAAGTAAATGAGCATGGACATGCTGTGAGAGTATTGAAAGTCAGTCAAGCAGAGAAGGAAATATGGATTAGAGAACTTGGCATGCATACACTCAAAAGTCAAGACTTAAACCCGTAATGGATCTTTTTCAGAATTGACATAGATATAACTTATTATGATTGGTTTACTGATAGTGGATGTTTAATACATACATACTGAGTTGACCTTTGTGTAAAATGAAGCTTTGATACACTTATTATAATTGGTATACTTCCATTTCCATACCAAGTTTCAAGCGTAGCGGCTCAAATTTGCACCCAAATTCATACTCAACACTCATTTTTCCAATGCAAAGTCATTACCAACAGCAATAAAAGCATAGTCAGAATAACATGATACCAATACTACAGTCAGATATGTAATATACTTTGACAGCACACTCGAAAACATAGTAATGTGCACTTGTGTTCGCTTGGGACTTTTGTCGAACACCTTATGGACTATCCCACAGAATACATTTAAGACCTTGTTTGAGTGGATTTAACGGACCAAAGTTATACAAATGACATCAATATCCCAACCAACAAGCAAACCATAATCACACACAATAAACAATCGATTTTACGTGGTTCACTAAAAATGATTTCGTTCACAGGAGACTACCTGTTTTACTAGATTAAAGGGATCTTAATCACTCAACCTCACAATCTCTGTGTTTAAGGTTCTTGCTCACTATTGTGAAGCTTGTTCTACCCTTAGTGTTTTCCTCCCGCAAGCTAACTTAGCAAATCGAACTCTCTAACTTACTTTCTCATCTACTAAATGCAACATATTGTTGCGGTTCCTATCTGTAAATGGAGCTATGAAATCCTGAAATGAACCTATTTCATGAATGAGTTTGAAGATGTCCTCTTGACGATAGCAAACAGCATAATGAATAACGCTCCCGCCATGATGGTCAATTCTTAGTATCAAACCAGGATATTCATTAATAAGTAATGTTAGAAATTCAACATTCCCTTTGTTTGCAGCATCAAGTAAAGGTTTTTCGATTATATATAGGGAAATTATAAAGTAAGATACATTTTTTTTCAAAATTATATTAAAAAAAAAAAAAAAAAAAAAGTAATGTTAGAAATTCAACATTCCCTTTGTTTGCAGCATCAAGTAAAGGTTTTTCGATTATATATAGGGAAATTATAAAGTAAGATACATTTTTTTTCAAAATTATATTAAAAAAAAAAAAAAAAAAAGACAAATTTCAAATCGTTCAATTTAAGAACACTTAACAAAGAATGACTGGTAGAGTTAACAAGAACTCAGTAATTGTATGTTGTATAATTAAAAAGGAAAAGTTGAAAAACAAATCAACCAAAAAAATTTTCAACCACTCATAAAGGCAAAGATTTTTTTTTTTTAAATCTAAAGAACTAAAAAAGAAAAAAAAAATGAAAAATGAAAAGAAAAGAACTACTACACTGGAGTTGCAGCTACTGAGCTACTACAGGGGATAAAGTTATTGAATCTTACTCAAGCTCTTGAAACTAGGATTGAAAATCAGGCAAGTCCGTCCCAATGCAATCGACAGCCACAAGAATGCATATACAGTAGTTGTTTTGGATCACCCTGACCTTAGAGAGGCTTACTTAACCCCATCTGCTGGGCCAGTGGCGCCAGCCTCTGGCTGCGTCGATGATATATTTTTTTTTTATTATTATTATTAAATGTCAATTTACAAAAAATAATATTTCAAAAAGGAAGATTAATGGGTCGTTTGTTTTATTATTTTTGCCCATATTCTCAATCATATTCCCAACATACTTATTTGTTTTGTTATTTGCAAAGTATTAGTATATTTTTTAATTACTTGTAGACCCTTTAAGTTCATTAATTTCATTAAATATCCCTAGAAAAAAGTTTAAAAATTAACAAAAACACCCCCATCCACCCATACTTACCAGATTCCGACAACCACTATTGGTGGTAGCCAAAATCTATCACAACGGCCTATCCATGATCTGAATTAGCCGATAATTCACCAGTCTGGCCTTTCCCAACCAAATCTACAATAGATCTGACCCAAAAGGGCCAGATCTGACGGCCAAAGAAATGGTCATCGTTGATAGTCAACAACGGCCAGATCTGGACTTTTGCGGCTGTCGACGGCCAGATCTGCCATAGATCTAGCCTTTTCCGGCCAGATCCATGGTGAATCTAGTCGGAAAAGGCCATACCGACACCTTACCCGTCAGATTCGACCGGTCTACATCGTAACGCCATTTTCCAGCCATATTCTAGCGGTGATGACTGGAATCTGGCACTTTGGATGGGTGAGGATGTTTTTTGTCATTTTACAAAAATTTTATATATTGGGATGTTTTGTTAAATTAACAAACCTATGGGTTTTTTGTTAATTTTTAAATTTTACCTTGTAATACTCCTCTATTTAACTATCCAAAATCCTATCCAAAATATTTTTACCAGTTTTTATATTTTTAATTTGTAAAATATTTTAATTTTTTATCTCGTATTTATTAATAAAATTTTAAAATTATGTTTCAATTTTTAAAATTTTTTAATTTACAAATAAAATGTTAAGAGGGCTGCTAGCCCAATTATCTATCTATTTTGCTAATGAAAGCAGGATATCTTCTTCTACATAACACAGAGTTGCCAAGTAAAATTTGCCAAAGTTACATTAAAGAAGTTATGTAGGTCAAATATGGGAGGGATATTGGATCCATATTACTAGGGGTGAGCGGTTCCGAGTACCCTGTATTTTCCGGGGAAACCGGAACCGAAACCGCACATTGCAGGTTCCCAAAAAAAGGAACCGGAACCAGAACCGCACAGTGCAGGTTCTTCAATTCAAGGAACCGGAACCTAAATGCAGGTTCCGGTTCCTTTCCAGGGTATCCTGTAAAAAATTAATTACCCCCCTATTAGTTTAAAAAATAACAAAAACACCTTATAAGTTTACAAATACACCCCTAACAAATTTTCATTATTCATTCATTTGTGTCCAATGTAACTCATAACTTGTAATCTCTAAGCAACACTTGAATTGTTAATCATTTAATTAAGTATTGTAATATTGTTTATAATAGAATATATAAGTAATTAAATAATCATACCATAAATTTATAATATAATGTTATAATTAATAAATTATAATAATTTGATTAAGTATTGTGTAAATAGTAAATTACTAATGTTTATAATATAATGTCATAATCAATTAAGTAATCATTTAATTATGTAATGTTATATTAATATATGATCATACTATAATAGTATAATGTAATGTTATAATGAATAAGTAATCATACTATAAATCTATAATTTAATATTATAATAATTAAATTTCAAATCATTTAATTAATATACTAATGTTTATAATGGAATGTTATAATGTATAAGTAATCATATTACAAATATATAAAGTAATGTTATAATTAATTAAATTTTTAATCGTTTAATTAAATAATATAATAGTATAGTAAATTACTAATGTTTATAATGTAATGTTATAAATTCATAACTATTAAGTAATATGTAATCATTAACTATATAATGCATAATAAGTGTGATCATAATATAAGTAATATAATAATATTATAATTTAATTGAGCAATTATTTAACTATAATGCAATGCTTAATAATGTTTATAATGAAATGTTTATAAGGTAATGTTATAATTAATTAAATTTTCTTCATTTAATTAAGTATTGTTATAAGTTTATGTAATAAATTAGTAATACTAATATTATAATATAATGACATAATCAATTTTAGTAATTATTATTATGTAATGTTATAATTAATTATATGATCATACTATAATAGTATAATGTAATGTTATAATGAATTAAGTAATCATACTATAAATCTATAATTTAATATTATAATTAATTAAATTTCAAATAATTGATTAATATACTATGTTTATAATGGAATGTTTAATTGATTAAGTAATCATATTATAAATATATAAGGTAATGTTATAATTAATTAAATTTTAATCGTTATTAAGTAATGCAATAATATAGTAAATTACTAAGTTATAATGTAATGTTATAAATTCATAACTAATTATAAATTATGTAATCATTTAACTATATATACTATAATTAAGTAAGTGATCATAATATATAATGTAATATAATAATATTATAATTTAATTGAGTAATTATTAACTATAATGTAATGATTAATTAATGTTTATAATAAAATGTTTATAAGGTAAGTTATAATTAATTAAATTTCTTATCATTTAATATAGTATTGCTAATGTTTATAGTAAATTAGTAATTACTAATATTTTAATATAATGACATAATCAACTAAGTAATTATTTAATTATGTAATGTTATAATTAATTAATAATCATACTATAATGTAATGTTATAATGAATTAACTATTAAGTAATCATACATAAATTTTAAGTAATTTATAATTAATTAAATTTTTAATCATTTAATTAAGTTTGTACTAATGTTTTTAAAAATGTTATAATTGATTAGTAATTATACTATAAATCTATAACGTAATGCTATAATTAATTAATTTCTAATTATAAGTCAATTAATTAACATTAATTAGTAATAACTTATAAGTCAATAATTAAGTAGTAATCAAAATGTAATGCTATAATTAATTATACTATAAATCAATTAAGTAATGTTATAAATTATATTAATTAAGTAATCATTTAACTATAATGTAATGTTATAATTGATTAAGTATGTATTAACTAGTAATAATATAATTAATTAATTTTAATGTTATCATTATCATATATATTAATAATTACTAATTTATATAGATATACTTAGAACTTGAGTTTTTTAATGAGTAAATAACTAAATATATTATTACTCAATCAAATATACTATTTTATTCAAAAATAATTCTTTTAATAACATTAAAAATGTAAAACACTTTTAATTGGATCATAATTCCAATTATTCACTTAATTGATCAAAACTTTAATATTAATGTATTATAATATATTAAAGCTTTTAATATGGTGTAATTTATATGTAATAAGTATAATTGTATTCGTATATTTATTTAATTAGGTTATTCTAAAAATTTAATTTTTTCTATTTTAAATTTTTTTATATGTAAAATAATAGAAACTCCCCAATTATTTACATTTCACAAATATTTCATTATAGTCCAGGTTCCAAAATAGGTTCTAAACAGATTCCAAAGCAGGTTCCAAATAGGTTCCAAAACAGGTTCCAAACAGGTTCCAAACCAGGTACCAAACAGGTTCCAAACCAGGTACCCCCTACAGGTTCCAAATAGGGTACCCTTTTTACAGGTTCCGGTTCCTCCACATGCAAGAACCGGAACCGGAACCGCACAGTAGCGGTTCCAAAAAATTGGAACCGAAACCTACCCGCACAGTGCAGGTTCTGGGTAGGTTCCGGTTTCGGTTCCGGTTCTACCCGCTACCCGTGCTCACCCCTGAATTATTACCCACAAAACAAGCATAAATCGATAGATATAAACTATTATTAAATGGAAATTGCTACAACCACATATCTTTAGAGCACATATCTCTATAATTAATCAAAAAAACTATTATATGTAGAGTTCCAGCATTCCTCTAAGAAGTTGGAGTATTGTTGGGGAGAGAGTTGTAAGTTTAACTTAGTGTAGTGTATGGTTACCCATTTTAAGTACAGCGGAATTATTACCAAGTTGACTAAGAATTTCCAATTTAATCACATCAAACACAAGTGTGGAAAATAAAAAACATTGTCATATACATGGTTCGACTAAATCCACTTTTAGCTTACATCCATGGGACCTTGTCCAGATCGAAGCAATCTACTAAGATAAAAACATATTACAAGATAATATTTAAAGTTGATCTAAGATACAGTAAAAAGAGCTCACTGTTCAATTTTACACTTAGCACCACACTTTGAATCTTTAACGTGTAGCAACTCCTTGGATCTTCTTAATGTCGAGAACACACCAGAGAATAGCTTGTGAAACACCAAGCTTCAAGCACTGACGCCACACACCAACATCAACAAAGAACCATGTTCCAAGAGCCATCAAGTCTATATTTGATATGGTGAGGTTTTGGCAAAAAATGGAAATGAACCTGTGAACTCCAAGAGAAAGAATACTCTAAAAAAATTTCAAAATACAATAAAATAAAAGATCAAAATGTTAGATTCAAAGACGCAAGATGAGATGGTATATAGTGAAGGGTTTCTTGCTCAACACATATGTGCCACGTCAGCCAACAAGGGCCTGACCCATGTTTGTCTAAATAAGGAAAGTATTCCTTCTTTTTGTTTGGACCACAAAACAAATCAGGAAAAAAAACTTTATTCCCTAGGACCACTTAAGGATATTATGACATACGTAAAAAGGTCCTAAAAGGTGAGAGACAAAGATAAAACAATATTTTTTTCACTTTATAAGACATACAACTCATGTTGGGTTGCAAATGTCTGAAGCAAGAGTCTAAGTATAAACTGTTGTACACACACAATCGAAAGAGAATAAGTCAAGACATAAGTCTGGAACCAGTGTGTACGCAGAACTAATGTGCACACACACGACAAAGGAAACAAGCCAAATCATAATATTATTAACAAGTGTGCACACATAATTGTTCTGCACACATAACTATTCTAAACAG